ATAGGCTGCACTGGAGTGACCACTGCTCCTGATAGGTTGCACTGGAGTGACCACTGCTCCTGATAGGCTGTACTGGAGTGACCACTGCTCCTGATAGGCTGTACTGGAGTGACCACTGCTCCTGATAGGCTGTACTGGAGTGACCACTGCTCCTGATAGGCTGTACTGGAGTGACCCCTGCTCCTGATAGGCTGCACTGGAGTGACCCCTGCTCCTGATAGGCTGCACTGGAGTGACCACTGCTCCTGATAGGCTGTACTGGAGTGACCACTGCTCCTGATAGGCTGCACTGGAGTGACCCCTGCTCCTGATAGGCTGTACTGGAGTGACCACTGCTCCTGATAGGCTGCACTGGAGTGACCACTGCTCCTGATAGGCTGTACTGGAGTGACCACTGCTCCTGATAGGCTGCACTGGAGTGACCACTGCTCCTGATAGGCTGTACTGGAGTGACCACTGCTCCTGATAGGCTGCACTGGAGTGACCACTGCTCCTGATAGGCTGCACTGGAGTGACCACTGCTCCTGATAGGCTGTACTGGAGTGACCACTGCTCCTGATAGGCTGTACTGGAGTGACCACTGCTCCTGATAGGCTGTACTGGAGTGACCCCTGCTCCTGATAGGCTGCACTGGAGTGACCCCTGCTCCTGATAGGCTGCACTGGAGTGACCACTGCTCCTGATAGGCTGTACTGGAGTGACCACTGCTCCTGATAGGCTGCACTGGAGTGACCCCTGCTCCTGATAGGCTGTACTGGAGTGACCACTGCTCCTGATAGGCTGCACTGGAGTGACCACTGCTCCTGATAGGCTGCACTGGAGTGACCACTGCTCCTGATAGGCTGCACTGGAGTGACCACTGCTCCTGATAGGCTGTACTGGAGTGACCACTGCTCCTGATAGGCTGCACTGGAGTGACCACTGCTCCTGATAGGCTGCACTGGAGTGACCACTGCTCCTGATAGGCTGTACTGGAGTGACCACTGCTCCTGATAGGCTGTACTGGAGTGACCCTGCTCCTGATAGGCTGCACTGGAGTGACCCTGCTCCTGATAGGCTGTACTGGAGTGACCCCTGCTCCTGATAGGCTGCACTGGAGTGACCCCTGCTCCTGATAGGCTGCACTGGAGTGACCCCTGCTCCTGATAGGCTGCACTGGAGTGACCACTGCTCCTGATAGGCTGTACTGGAGTGACCACTGCTCCTGATAGGCTGCACTGGAGTGACCACTGCTCCTGATAGGCTGCACTGGAGTGACCACTGCTCCTGATAGGCTGTACTGGAGTGACCACTGCTCCTGATAGGCTGTACTGGAGTGACCCCTGATCCTGATAGGCTGCACTGGAGTGACCCCTGCTCCTGATAGGCTGCACTGGAGTGACCACTGCTCCTGATAAGCTGCACTGGAGTGACCACTGCTCCTGATAGGCTGCACTGGAGTGACCACTGCTCCTGATAGGCTGTACTGGAGTGACCACTGCTCCTGATAGGCTGTACTGGAGTGACCACTGCTCCTGATAGGCTGCACTGGAGTGACCCCTGCTCCTGATAGGCTGCACTGGAGTGACCACTGCTCCTGATAGGCTGTACTGGAGTGACCACTGCTCCTGATAGGCTGTACTGGAGTGCCCACTGCTAGTCTCTCTCTCTAGTCTCTCTCTCTGGTCGCTCCCTCTGGTCTCTCCCTCTGGTCGCTCCCTCTGGTCGCTCCCTCTGGTCGCTCCCTCTGGTCGCTCCCTCTGGTCGCTCCCTCTGGTCGCTCCCTCTGGTCGCTCCCTCTGGTCGCTCTCTCTGGTCGCTCCCTCTGGTCGCTCCCTCTGGTCGCTCTCTCTGGTCGCTCTCTCTGGTCGCTCCCTCTGGTCGCTCCCTCTGGCGTCTTGGTCGCTCCCTCTCTGGTCGCTCTCTCTGGTCGCTCTCTCTGGTCGCTCCCTCTGGTCGCTCTCTCTGGTCGCTCCCTCTGGTCGCTCCCTCTGGTCGCTCCCTCTGGTCGCTCCCTCTGGTCGCTCCCTCTGGTCGCTCCCCTCTGGTCGCTCCCTCTGGTCGCTCCTCTGGTCGCTCTCTCTGGTCGCTCTCTCTGGTCGCTCTCTCTGGTCTCTCCCTCTGGTCGCTCCCTCTGGTCGCTCCCTCTGGTCGCTCCCTCTGGTCGCTCCCTCTGGTCGCTCCCTCTGGTCGCTCCCTCTGGTCGCTCCCTCTGGTCGCTCCCTCTGGTCGCTCCCTCTGGTCGCTCCCTCTGGTCGCTCCCTCTGGTCTCTCTCTCTGGTCGCTCTCTCTGGTCGCTCCCTCTGGTCGCTCCCTCTGGTCGCTCTCTCTGGTCGCTCTCTCTGGTCGCTCTCTCTGGTCGCTCCCTCTGGTCGCTCTCTCTGGTCGCTCTCTCTGGTCTCTCCCTCTGGTCGCTCTTCTGGTCGCTCCCTCTGGTCTCTCCCTCTGGTCGCTCTCTCTGGTCGCTCTCTCTGGTCGCTCTCTCTGGTCGCTCTCTCTGGTCGCTCCCTCTGGTCGCTCTCTGGTCTCTCTCTCTGGTCGCTCTCTCTGGTCGCTCCCTCTGGTCTCTCTCTCTGGTCGCTCTCTCTGGTCGCTCTCTCTGGTCGCTCTCTCTGGTCGCTCCCTCTGGTCGCTCTCTGGTCTCTCTCTCTGGTCGCTCTCTCTGGTCGCTCCCTCTGGTCTCTCTCTCTGGTCGCTCTCTCTGGTCGCTCTCTCTAGTCTCTCTCTGGTCGCTCTCTCTGGTCGCTCCCTCTGGTCGCTCTCTGGTCTCTCTCTATGGTTGCTCTCTCTAGTCTCTCTCTCTAGTCTCTCTCTCTCTGGTCGCTCTCTCTAGTCTCTCTCTGGTCGCTCTCTCTGGTCGCTCTCTCTAGTCTCTCTCTAGTCTCTCTCTGGTCGCTCTCTCTGGTCGCTCTCTCTAGTCTCTCTCTGGTCGCTCTCTCTGGTCGCTCCCTCTGGTCGCTCTCTGGTCTCTCTCTATGGTTGCTCTCTCTAGTCTCTCTCTCTAGTCTCTCTCTCTATGGTCGCTCTCTGGTTGCTCTCTCTAGTCTCTCTCTCTAGTCTCTCTCTCTATGGTCGCTCTCTGGTCGCTCTCTCTAGTCTCTCTCTAGTCTCTCTCTGGTCAGGTGGCCATACTTGAATGCGAAAACCAGATTCCATCAGACCTCTGAAGCTGTGCAAGGCAGGGCAGGGCCTGGTTAGTACTATGATGGGAGACCTCTGAGAACACCAGGTACCACAGTGGGGCAGCTACGGCTGTAAAGTGCCACACTGTTGTTGTGTCCTTAGGCAAGACACTTCGGCCACATTGTCTAGAATGAGTCTGGTGTGTGTGTGTGTGTGTGTGTGTAAATGTATGTGTGAATGTTTGGTGGTGATTGGAGGGGCCGACTGGGACATACTGGTTGCCCCGCTTCTGTCAGTGTGCCCGAGGGCAGCTGTGGCTACAGTAGTTTATCAACACTGTGTAGGGAGTGGGGAGAAAAATGAGATATGAAGCGTCTTTGAGTGTCCTGAAAAGCGCTATATAAAACCAATTATTATGGTCTCTCTCTGGTGTCTCTCTTTAGTCTCTCTCTGGTCTATGTCTGAATTAATGTATTTTTTGACTGCCTGTACTTTTATCTGCTCCTGATATAACCTTTGGCGCCTCTCACTAGACAGTAGAACATTACACTTCTCTCTGTTTGACCCAGATGTCTCGGTATGTGTTCTGAGTACCTCTCCCTCCTCTTGGATCCCTTTGGCTCTCTGTGGGAGTTTTTAAATCTTCAGCACATATCAGCAAATTTTCTCTAATTTGTCCTTTTCTGATGTGCCCTATTTCCCCAAAAGCAGCAGCAAAAGGAGGCCACGCACAACGAGCCACATTCATGAAGCAGCAGAAGCCGTTTATTCAAGATTTATGACCTGAATAATGCATGAAAACAACACAAGGATAGAAACACCGGATTGTTATCATAGGAACACAGAAATGCCTGTTTAGAGAGGGTTAAGTGCAGCAAAGGGCAAGTTACTTAAAAATTGTAATGAATGATGTATTACATGTTACTGTTATTTCAAAGTGTTGCACTACAATATTTCTCTGGCAAAGCAATACATTAAAGCTATGGCATTACTTTTGTAAGTGTAGCTTGTGGAACATAAGGGGATCCATGTTTCTAATGACTTAATATTAATATTATTATTAATATTAATAATATTAATCATCATCATCAAAATCATAATTGTGCAGTTTTATACAGCACTTTTCTGGACGCTCAATTACACTTCACATGTCATTATTCATTCACTCCGTACAAAGGGGCGATAAACTACTACTGAAGCCATCAACTAATGGGGCCCTCTGACTGGAGCGAGGCACCTCCAACCACTCACACACACACACCAGACTCGTTCTCTGGTGTTCCTTGGGTTCTCCCATCACAGTACTGACCAGGACCTGCCCTGCTGTGCTTCAGAGGTATGACAGGATCTGGCTTTCGCCTGCAAATGATGCCATATTTATTCAAGATGTTCAAGATATTTGACCTAGAATCCACTTCAATACTGTCTGCGTAAATGCTAAAATATGGAATTTCGAAATGTGTAGAATTTCTGAAATTCTGTATTTTTTGACTACCGAGAGTTTAGTTTAGTCACCAAAATGTTGGACTTAATGTGGAAGAGATAGATATGAACATAAGCTAGCTGGAGCTAGCTTGTATTGGCATTTTTTACCAATATTATTAGCATCGGACCGTAACAGGGACGTTTCCCCCGTGAATGAAGGAATTGATCGTTCAATCCTTATATGGCTCATATCTGGATTTGAAAAGACAATATCACAATATCACACCAGGATCACAGGTTTTTTGATCCCAAAATGATCAGTATAAAGGTTTCTGAGCTCGAGGAGCCAAACTTCCTTATAGAACTTCATTGAGCTAGCAGGTTAGCATCGTCCATCTATACTGGACTGTGTGCAGATGTGTACTTCACGTGGACGTAGTTGTGATGTCTCTTGTCCCTGTCTCTCTGAGCAGATGGACCCAGTGCAGAAGGCGGTGCTGAACCACACTCTGGGCCTGAGTTCGAGTCCCAAGAGGAGACACGTGTCCTGCAGCGTCTGCCAGCTGCGCTTCAACTCCCAGGTCTCACACAACTATCACTAGCTCTGTTCATGTTGGCCCCAAAAGAAGAAATGTTATGTATCATTTTCAGCTATTGAACACAATAATGAGACTGTATACTCTGTCATATCATGTTTTAGAATGTGAAATTATATGTTCAATGCTAAATATATGGTGAACCAAGTAGGAAAGGTAAATAATGCTTTCTGCCTGTAGGTCCTTGTCCTGCCCCCAGAGGGAGTTGCAAACACAGACAAGAAATGAATGTCATTTCATTACCACAACTTATTTATGGGCAATACTTTCATTTTAAAATGCAGAAAACTGCTCTGAGTGTGATGTCACATTGGTAAAATGACATCCATAGACTGTATACAGACGGACAATGCTAAAGCCTAGTGTATACTTGCGCGGCGCTGCTTACGTTAGCGGTTGCGGTGGACGTACGCAAGCACAATTTAATTTATACTCCTTGCGGAGTTTTGAGGAGAATGTTGTAATCCCACAACCAACCACATGATGGCGATCTCACAGGAGTTGCTTGAGAAACCAAAGCGGTCTCATTTACGCTGCTACTTTCTCCTCTTCAGAACAAAAACATGAACAAACCGAGCTGTTTGAGATCATTACATGTGTTTCTACTGTAGGTTTATGTGATAGTTCTATGGACTCATTATTTCTGAACTCATTTAACTGTGATGTTGTGAATAAAGACACAGTTCTTGTTGGAAACAGTTATTATTAAATTGTATTCATCACAAACAGCATACAAAAAGTGGTAAATATCTGAGGCAAACATGAACAATTTAAAAGTGCAGGAGGAATGGAACAGACGTGATAAGCTACGATTCAAACAAAGACAGGAACAGGGCAAAACAAACGACTGCACAGTTTATAAGTTATACATATGTTATATATGCAACAGAACTCTAGTCCACAGTCTCCGCGTTTATCAGGCTCTGCCATGAGCCCAAACTGCTTTTCCTTCGAAGCACAAAGCTCTCTGCTCCATAGTGCCTCGTCCATGCTCCTGCTGCAGCCGCTCCGTGCTTCCTTCCAATACACACACACGGACCAATCACAGCGGAGCTTCCTTGCGGCGACCCTTACGTAGTTAGAAAATGTCGATGCTGCGCGGCAGGCGACGTAAGGGCCTTGCGGTGACCAACGCGTTGCGCAAGTGACGTCACGTCGCCTCCGTAAGCTCCGCGCCGCGCGACTATAAACTAGGCTTAACTCTCTAGCTCACTGAAGCCCCAGAGGGAAGTGCTCATAGACGGTGTAGTTTTGCTACAACTGGCTCTGACTCTTATTGACTCACATTTAAAAAGTAAACTCCTCTCGCTCAGTAACCGTTTGTGTCACTCTCACCAGTTTAGGCTTTAATCTATGGTTTAGAGCGCTCTGTGATCCTGATGTTCATGTTGTGATATTGTCTTTCTAAATCCAGATATGAGCCATTTAAGAATTGACCAATCAGATGCCTTCATATACAGGGGAAACTTCAACTTTCCTTTGCTACTATGTCTTGGACAGAGAGGCAGAGAGAGAGAGACCAGAGAGAGAGAGACCAGAGAGAGAGAGACCAGAGAGAGAGAGACCAGAGAGAGAGAGAGACCAGAGAGAGAGAGACCAGAGAGAGAGAGACCAGAGAGAGAGAGAGAGACCAGAGAGAGAGAGACCAGAGAGAGAGAGAGACCAGAGAGAGACAGACCAGAGAGAGAGAGACCAGAGAGAGAGAGACCAGAGAGAGAGAGACCAGAGAGAAGAGAGAGAGAGACCAGAGAGAGAGAGACCAGAGAGAGAGAGAGACCAGAGAGAGAGAGAGACCAGAGAGAGAGAGAGACCAGAGAGAGAGAGACCAGAGAGAGAGAGAGACCAGAGAGAGAGAGACCAGAGAGAGAGAGACCAGAGAGAGAAGACCAGAGAGAGAGACCAGAGAGAGAGAGAGACCAGAGAGAGAGAGACCAGAGAGAGAGAGAGACCAGAGAGAGAGAGAGACCAGAGAGAGAGAGAGACCAGAGAGAGAGAGAGAACCAGAGAGAGAGAGACCAGAGAGAGAGAGACCAGAAGGAGAGACGAGAGAGAGAGACCAGAGAGAGAGAGACAGAGAGGAGAGACCAGAGAGAGAGAGACCAGAGAGAGAGAGAGACCAGAGAGAGAGAGAGACCAGAGAGAGAGAGAGAGAGAGAAGAGAGAACCAGAGAGAGAGAGAGACCAGAGAGAGAGAGACCAGAGAGAGAGAGCCAGAGAGAGACAGACAGAGAGAGAGAGACCAGAGAGAGAGAGACCAGAGAGAGAGAGACCAGAGAGAGAGAGACCAGAGAGAGAGAGAGACCAGAGAGAGAGAGAGACCAGAGAGAGAGAGAGACCAGAGAGAGAGAGAGACCAGAGAGAGAGAGACCAGAGAGAGAGAGAGACCAGAGAGAGAGAGACCAGAGAGAGAGAGAGACCAGAGAGAGAGAGACCAGAGAGAGAGAGACCAGAGAGAGAGAGACCAGAGAGAGAGAGACCAGAGAGAGAGAGACCAGAGAGAGAGAGACCAGAGAGAGAGAGAGACCAGAGAGAGAGGAGACCAGAGAGAGAGAGAGACCAGAGAGAGACCAGAGAGAGGCCAGAGAGAGAGAGACCAGAGAGAGAGACAGAGAGAGAGGAGCCAGAGAGAGAGAGAACAGAGAGAGAGAGAGACCAGAGAGAGAGAGACAGAGAGAGAGACCAGAGAGAGAGAGACACAGAGAGAGAGACCAGAGAGAGAGAGACCAGAAAGAGAGAGACCAGAGAGAGAGAGAGACCAGAGAGAGAGAGACCAGAGAGAGAGAGAGACCAGAGAGAGAGACCAGAGAGAGACAGACAGACCAGCGAGAGAGAGACCAGAGAGAGAGAGAGACCAGAGAGAGAGAGACCAGAGAGAGAGAGAGAGACCAGCGAGAGAGAGACCAGAGAGAGAGAGAGACCAGAGAGAGAGAGACCAGAGAGAGAGAGACAGACAGACCAGAGAGAGAGAGACCAGAGAGAGAGAGACCAGAGAGAGAGAGACCAGAGAGAGAGAGAGACCAGAGAGAGAGAGACCAGAGAGAGAGAGACCAGAGAGAGAGAGAGAGAGACCAGAGAGAGAGAGACCAGAGAGAGAGAGAGACCAGAGAGAGACAGACCAGAGAGAGAGAGACCAGAGAGAGAGAGACCAGAGAGAGAGAGAGACCAGAGAGAGAGAGAGACCAGAGAGAGAGAGAGACCAGAGAGAGAGAGACCAGAGAGAGAGAGACCAGAGAGAGAGAGACCAGAGAGAGAGAGAGACCAGAGAGAGAGAGAGACCAGAGAGAGAGAGAGACCAGAGAGAGAGAGAGAGACCAGAGAGAGAGAGACCAGAGAGAGAGAGAGACCAGAGAGAGACAGACCAGAGAGAGAGAGACCAGAGAGAGAGAGAGACCAGAGAGAGACAGACCAGATAGAGAGAGACCAGAGAGAGAGAGACCAGAGAGAGAGAGACCAGAGAGAGACAGACCAGAGAGAGAGAGAGACCAGAGAGAGAGAGAGACCAGAGAGAGACAGAGACCAGAGAGAGAGAGACCAGAGAGAAAGAGACCAGAGAGAGAGAGAGACCAGAGAGAGAGAGACCAGAGAGAGAGAGACCAGAGAGAGAGAGAGACCAGAGAGAGACAGACCAGAGAGAGAGAGACCAGAGAGAGAGAGAGACCAGAGAGAGACAGACCAGAGAGAGAGAGAGAGACCAGAGAGAGAGAGAGACCAGAGAGAGAGAGAGAGACCAGAGAGAGACCAAACAGAGACACCTGAGACCAGACAGTCGCCAAAGTAGCCAAAAAGTAGTGCCAAATAACCCCAGAATTACAGAATATATTAAAAAACATACCAAAATAATTGGAAAAAAGTGGAGGTCTGCCCATGTTTTAGTTTTAAATCATTGTTAATAAGACATGTAGTACTTTAGTTCTGCTCTGTAGTAACCGTAGTGATCATAACCACATACAGTATGTAGAGGTTATTAAAAGCCTCAGCTGTCTGTCAGGTTGCTGGTGTGATTCTTTTACACTGTGATAATATGAGGACTTTATTAGACTCATAACCAGCGGCAGGAAGCTGTCAGTCAGCAGGCAGATCAGAGCGCCTACCCTCTGGGCGTCGACTCTGCTCCGGAGACACAAATCTATGTACGCATTAAAATAGCTGGAATGCATATCAGCGGTTTCAAAGATGAGGTTAGGATATAGTTTCAAACGAAAGACTTAAGAGGTTTTTAAATGGTTGTTTATCGCTTTGCATAGTCATCAGCACAATGAAGACTCCAAGAGATTTTTTGCAAGAATGGCATTTATTACACACTAATAATTTGCCATTTGCAGTTTTTACTGCAAATGGCAAATAAACTGAATCTGATCTGTACATGAAATATATTTATGACATGTGCAGGAGGGGTAATCATACTGATGTCTAGGGACCAATGGCTCCTACGTGTTTGTTATGATGGCATTTCCTGTGTGGATGGCGACTAAACAACTTCGTTAAGTCCTCCGAGTCGCCTGCTAGTGAGCTGTAAACACATTGAATAAAAAGAAATCAACCATGCCAGGGTTCCTCTTAACATCAATGCTTTTAAGTTTTTCATAATTCCGGGAAAAGAGTTTTGCATGAGCCTTGTGTTTGACCCATGTGCTGTAGAAGATGATATGGCATTATCTTCACCATATTTGATATAAACACACGTCTGGATGATGCAGTGATTACGACTTCAAACCTCCAAAACACCAGACAAACCACAAGGACTGACATAAAAATCAGAAATTCTCAACCTTGTCTTTCTGCAAATCATAAACACTATGTTCAATTGTTGTCTTGTTTTATGGGAATACGTTTATTACTTTGACATGTGTGAGAAGATTTCTGCCGTTTGGACTCTGTTCTTGTTTACAACAGACTTGAGACAGCGTCGATCTTGTTATTGGCCCCTCAGTCATTTGCCCCCACAAATTTCTTGGTGTTCCAAACTGTTTACAATCCTGTCAGAT